TCTGGAATGTCGTCGCAGGATCACCACTGACACGGTCGTTGGAGCAGTCGTCGTGTTTTCTGTACAGTTTCAGTTTTGTAAAGAGAGTGAGTGAGTTTGGTTTTACGCAGCTTTTAGCAATATTCCATTAATATCAAGGCGGGGGACACCGGAAATGGGCGTCACACTACCCATATGGGGACTCGAACCCGGTCTTCGGCGTGACGAGCGAACGCTTTAACCACTAGGCTAACCCACCGCCCCAGTTGTGTAAAGAGAGCCTTGTCTGATCAATACACAATGTATAATTCGAAATAGTGTACACCCTTTACTTGTGAGCGTAAACATGATTTAAATGCATGTGATTACCCTGTCAATTTATGTTAACAGAAATATCTACTGTTTCTTAAGTCATCTGGACAATGCGTATTTCTAATATCAGCGTATTCATTCTTACGTTCGAGTCTGCACGTGAACGGAAATAATAAGTCATCCCAGGATATGCACCTCACAATGCCCGTTTTAACAGTGGCTCGTAATAGCCATAACTGCCGCAGCTCCCATAGCCCACGACCGTGCTTGAGTTTAGGTTTGGACGCAGGGTTCTTGTGATATTGTCAACGGCGCGACACCTTCAATAATTAGTGTTTAGGTCTACCGTGGACGCAATCCAAACCCCTAAATTAAATACCTTGATTAACTTCACATGGTCTTAGTCGTTGTCTGAGTAGTTTTATCGACGTACAAAATATTGTTTCGCGAATTTTAAGAACACCCAATATGGTAATTTCCGTGTACGTCAGAGTCTGATATCTTGACATTCACCGCCCTCGCTCCTTTCCGTAACCATTCGGCTTTTCCCGGAAAAGCACGAATGATGTAGAACATAGGGTACGGCGAATCTTGTTATTAATTGTTCAACGGATTCATGAATTGTCACCATATATAATATATACATTTTAAAAATACCTTAGTGTAGAGACATTTAGCGTAATTTTTATTTTTTAAATTTAGTTTTCTGAGCTTTATCAGTTCCAACGAACAACTTTGCTAAACCTATACCAGGCTCGAACGGTATCTTGGGTCTTCAAAAATACCTTCTTGACAATGCTGTTGTTAATATTAGAAGAAAAATGGTTTTAGGAATTAGAAATATACCAGCAATATCACATCGTAGAAATTTACTACACACATACCCAAGTGGAGAACCGAACAGCGACGTGGGTGTGACAAGGGAATATATACCACTAGGCTACCCCGCCGTCCCAATGATCAAATGCAATAGGAAGGTGTAAAAGCCACATATTAAATACAATCTTACGGCATAAAATACAGACATGATATTATCAAGGTCCATGCTCATTTACTGTCGGCATTTGGAAGGGGGCTTGAGGGTTGAGAGGGTGTGAGCATTAATACACACCAGAAAGGTATAGTTTAACAGCATGTCCGTAGACGCCAAATGTACAAACTCTTACACACTTTTCACTCATGTAGTGGTGACTTCAATACCTATTCGACATAACCACATATAACTTCACTCTGCAAATTTGGGCATTTCGTGTTTTGAGATTAAAAAGCACGAAGCCGAACAATAGGAAATATATTTTACTGTATTTTTGTGCGTATTTGTTTCCTCCTGCTGAATGAAATCAGACCCAAAAATATTTGTAAAAAATTCAAAGAGGCCAATGCAGTGAAAAATAGGTTCAGGTGAAAGCATAGTCTACTTTATGTACCTAAAATAAATAATGAGCCAGTAATTATCATCATTATTTCGTGCGGCAGATGGAAATGGACAGTTTTGCTTCCTCAAGTACACATAGACTCTTAGGCCGCGCTATTAGTTGGAGTTTTAAACCACCACTGGATGGATGAATAACATTACGGCAATCTATAAGGTATAGGGCTCTACGGAGACTCCTATAATTTAATTTGCGTTCACTTCACCGACGAGAGAGCTCCTTAAGTAATCCGCTGTCGCTACGACGAGAGATTCGGGTACAAAACACAGCTGGTTTGAGGGCTAATTGTTTGTATATGGCCATTCGCGCGCTAAATTATGGTCCTCCACGTCCGTGTTACGTCACGATAAGGATTGATACAGTTATGCCGTCATCCTGTGACATCACTATGGCAACTGTTAGCCAATCAGGATCGCCCAACAAGGGTCACAAGTTCAAGGCGTATTTGCATGATACAGGCATTCGCAGTCCCCGAAGCCGTCCTGGCTTTTCCCTCATGGCCTCAATCAAATAGGCACTGACAAGCCAGCGAATTGAAGCAAAAATTGCTTTAACTTGCGCTCTGAAAGGGCAAAATGAAACAATTCCCTTCCGCCATTTTGTTGTCGGTGAAAGATTTCAGGGTCACGTGATGTTTGCAGGGGGTCATCGGTCGTCTGCTCAAGTTTGATCAGACGATCACGTGTTTACTTTCCAATTCTTAGCAGCATGCACGATAATGACTTGTCTGTTGGGGTCCCCCTGTACAAAAAGCGTTGGAGGGTGCCCCTTTATCGGGCTTCTTTAATTAATGAATATTTACCCCTCCCTTTCCAGGCTGATTGACGAGCTGTCAAGATGGCTAACAGCAATTTCAGTTAGTCTTTGATAGAGTAACCAAAATATTTTCTCTACAAACGACGGAGACATTTTATTTGCTGACCGTAGTACATCGTATTTGCTACCCGGCACGTGGATCAAAAACGTCTTGACAAATGTAATTATTCTACACGAGACGTTGTCCTAACGGTTTGCAATTTTACGTCCATTCTCTGCAAACAACGACCATTCTACGTTAGGTTCATTATAGTTTCAGGAAAATTCAGTTATTAATTTCGTAATATTTTAGAAAACATTAATTACAAATTAGATCATATGCACTTGGAAGTAACGTTTCGTGTGGAAAAGCTAGATACATGAAAAACTTGCAGATCAGGGTTGTTTTTCTCTCATTGGCTTGAGTGTGATATTCTGTTAGAATTCGGGTCTCTGTTACTGTTTAGCCGGTTGTATATTTTCGTGTGCAGCAGAGACGAGTATTTAAAATACTGCGTCATTACCTTCGCCATCATCGTTGAATATGTACTAATATCTTAGACATCTTGACAAATGCGATTTACCATACATCCTAACCCTTTATGTTCGGACATCGAGTTATGTATATTATATATTGATTTATATACAATAGGTATCGATTGATAGAAAATGATTATCGATACATCTGCAATGATTATTGATTTATATGCAACGGCTGTCCATCCACATGCAATGTTTGCAACATTCAGTCATTACACAAATCTATTTAAAAGGAATGATGGTGAAATTCCCTTTTCTAAAGTCATTCCCAACAAGGCCAACCACAGCATTTAATAACCCATCATTTCCAGCGTAGTTATCCGCCACTGACAGCGAATATAAATAATGAATATAGCCTCAATTACCAAGTCACCCCCTGTGGAGCCCCACGTGTATATAATTGCGTTTCTTGGACAAGCTGGACGCTTTCCTCGACACAACAATTGATATGGATGACCAGTCTCCCTGGACAATTACTGGCAGTATTTGGATCTTCACATTTTGAGGGTAGTCCATATAAATTAATAGCCTGTATATCGAACTGTGGTGTCTTGGTCTGACAATGAAACATCGCTGTCTGATCGCAAGCCGACCTTGCTAAAATGTTGGCCATGTTTGTTTACAATGGTGTTGCTGAAGAAAAATGCGCAATAATCAGAAGCTATTTTGGGCGATGAATGTCATCAGGACTATTTGGAGGAATATTATTATTATGTTTGCATAATCACGAGATTATGAAATTTTACTATTATTATAATATAAACCACAGGTGATAAGACCCTCTGGCTACAACGTTGTTAAATGAAAATATAGACATTATTAATCATTTTCCCATTTTGATAAGACTAATATTGATAAAAAGCCATTATCAATATTATCTCACTAATTGATCTGTGTAACATTTCGTGTTGCCGATGGGTTATGGTCGTAATATCTTATATAAGTATGTCAAATGTGCATATCGAAACATATTGCACCATTTTATGACATCTTTACTAATCCCTATGTTAGTACTGTGAGTCACGGTTGCGTTCTATTGCATAATTACCTACAGCGATTTTTGTTAACCCCGATAATCTGTCAACACACCCTAACATGACATTATGATCATAAATTGCGTCAGCAGCCATAAAAGCTGCCGAGAGAAGATGTGCATGTTTGTAATTGACTTTAAAACTCATTAACATACCATAAATGGTTCATCAATAATCTGGCTGTGTTATCTTTGCTGGGCAAGACCACCACACGAAACGTTGAGAAACACAACAGCACAACCTCACTAGACCAACCTAAAACACATTCACACCAAATAACAAGAGACGCTTGAGTAGCGATAGGCAAATTAGCTTGCAGAATTGCCCAGGATTATTATGATAACAAAAGGTTGTTATGTCTGCTCTCTATTCGCTCTCGCTTTTCTCGTGCTAGAGCTGGAGCGTCGATATTGGGTCAAATTATTCTACATCCTCTATTGCGGAAAATTCCGGTAGTTTACGGAATATGTTCCTGGATTTTGGGGGGTCTGTGTGAGCAGAAAACAAATATCACCGACGGAAATTTCAGACAGGGGTAAGTGTGTCCCCTCGACGAGTCGGGAGCGATACATGGTAAACAACAACATTTAAAGCTGAGAGAGAGAGTTCTATGGACTCGCTGTAAAAACGTTGTCTTTGAAATTGATGTGTACCGCCTTTCACAAAATGAGAGTTAACCCTAAAGGGGGCATTCTGAGATCCTTAGCCGTGGTCCTTCGGGCTATCTAGTACATTGCACATGTGCTTTTCCATAAATCCAGGCCCTAAGCCCTTATCACTTCACATCCAAAAGCAACCGATGCTTTAACAGCGATAGGTCAATTTGGCAAAGTATCAAAATATTGCAATCAACATTCACAACGTAAAATATTTTCTAAGGTAACTACACAACCGTGAGAATACAGACCCTTGCAAACAACTGCCGTTCACGGAGACGCCATAGCCAAGCGAAATTGTCAATCCCGACAGCGGGGCCTGTTCGTCTGCCGAGTCGCGAGCGACGCCATGTTGGATAGCCAGTTGTTAGCAAAGCAGACCGCTTCGGAATTGTCGCGCGTTCTGGAGCCCCAAACACGTCGTGAAATATTAAGATTTTACGAATTATTGTCGTATAAGGATCATACTTCAAGTTGTACTTACTGTATCGGTTGCTCGTTGCTTCTTTTATCCAGAAACACTGAATATATCCGTCTCTTCTCGAAGCACCCAGTCCAGCAAATCGACTTTATCACGTGACTTGTCATAGAGCCAGCCGGTATTATTTACTTTGGTTTGTTATTTATAGACTCATAAAAATTCAGCCAATGAGAGCGCAGCTGGCCGATAGGCTCGCGAATATGTTGCTCTGTGATTGGCCAAGAGCTCAAAGGAGCACAGACATCGTAGAATGTGAGATTACAAGGGAACAATGACAGAAATCGCTGGCCCTGGGTCGCGTGCTGAAAAACACAGGGGTGTAGCGATAAAAAGATAAATTTTTAATCAGAGAGAATGAACGACACGGACGGGAAATGGCTTCAGAGAGATACTAAGGCCATTTTTCATAACCATTATGTCAAATTTTCACGCGAACTAAATTCCCCAAGCCACGCCTTTGAGCCGTGTGGAGAAATATCTTAACGTTATTAGGCTTATATCGGTGGAACTTTAAACAAAGAAGGAAAACCCTTTATGACATAATGATTAATGAACGGAATATGATTTCTCATTAATATTTTGATCTGAAATAGTGTTTGGGCAACCCTTCAATTAAATTTAGGATAGGACCTTTATAAATTCAAAACGTCTTTTATCCGTGAACAAAGAACTTGGTTAAAATTCCCCAAAGAATATTTCTTTCTGCATTATTTATTCCCTTACTGAAATACGATTATTTAAGTGAAACTTAAACCTAAATTAAATTCGCACTTTAAGGGATTATAAAACTACCGGTATTCGTTTTTAATTATTTACCGGCCTTTAAAATTTAAATTTTATATTTCTTTTACTTTACGGCAACCAACATCTGTTTTGAAATTAAATACTGCATTTTGTAGGACGTCTAATCAAGCAATAAAACTCTCAGATTGTTTCCAAACAACGTAAACAATGAGCCAAACAATTTCAACTTCGTTTAAAACATTAAGTGTTAGTCCTAACATATTGTTCATATTTCACCTGAACTCCTAACACACTGTTCATATTTTACCAGAAAGAAATCTGCTACAACCTAACAGAAAGTTTCAAAACGCATACTAAATTAGCGTTTAAACGGAAAAGGTTTATTTGCAACATTTTCATATGTTAAAGATGAAATCAAGTAACGGTGGATTGAGGAATAATTCCTTCCCAAACTTAGAATATGCATTTGGAATGTATTTCTGTATTTGACAGACCAGTCAACGTATGTCAAACAAGTTATAACCTGGTTGGCAAAATTAGATTTATCTACAGCACACACTGCCCAGTTTGGCGACGCAAGTCATGTCTGTCCTGATTACTTGGTTTAAGTTGTAACCTTCACTGACGTAAAGATACAACAATACAACTACACAACTTTAATATACAGATTCTGAATATATCTCTCGGGCAATTATTAAATTTATAGAGTCAACCTGAAGGAAATTAATAAATATCTGTTTAAGGTTTCTAATAATATACAGACAAGCCAGTTTTCGGTTTATGTCCATGCTTTGACTGAACCGTAAGAATAACATCTATCTGTTCGAATTTTTAGTTTTTAGTTTAAATGTTTAAATGGTGAGTGAGTGAGTGAATATTGCTTAGCGCCGCATCGGCAATGTTGCAGCTGTTGGCTGCGATTTAAAATGGTTTGTTCGAGGATAGAATTAAAACTGTTTAATTTCAGCACAGCCAATATTGGTTACACATACAATACATTTTCAGATATAGAACGATAAGATAAGGTGTTGCAATTTTACTACGGGAAACCTCGGACCTTGTCTCTTCAAGTGCAACAATGGCAAGTTTTGAGGCGTACTAGAATGACACTGAAAATTGAAGCAACCAATTGCTTCACAGAATATTGTTATAATATCATGGTAGTGACAATAAGAAAAGTTTGGTAAGGCAATAAAGATAAATGAACACTACCACACCTGTTACAAAATGCCTGACAAATTGGATTTTATCACCTTCCCCGAAACTCGACATGCTAGCATGCATATGTTGACGGCATGTGTTGCGCTCCCATTACGGAACGTCATTATGGCTACGTCATACATAAACAGTGTGTTTGTTTTTCGAAACGTCGATTCTTTTTAAAGTTAAAGCATTTTAACACGTGTGTTTTTACTGACGATCGTTGTATAGGACAATGTACACATTTAGCATGTTATCAAAAGTTAGATGTTAATTTTATAATCTAAAATATTGTTTGATATTTGGAGCCGCGGCCCGTCAAAATATATGGTGTCAGAAATATTGAATATTTCTCTCACGCACCAGGGAAATTCTATGACACTGTACACATAAAATTTTAATGAAATTTTGAAATGAGTTGTTGCGATGATTTATCTGCATGTCTTTGAAAATGATGTCGTATCATTAGGTATGTTCTTTTTAAAAAAACAAATAGTGATTTAATTTGGTACTGTTGAAACGGGTTAAATTCAGTTTTGATTGGAACGTCATATGGGGGTGATGCAGACAGCTTAAGGGTGCAATGAACCATTATATAATAAAAACATATTTTTTCATAACAATATTAAGTTCAAAAGGTAACAATGACAATAGAAATAAAATAAAATTTCCATAGAATTAGGTCAATTTACGTTCTAAAAATATTGGCTAAAATATAAATAATTTTAAATCGACACATTAATTTATATTGACGTTAAATTGAGACCCGATTAAAAAACATCAATTCTAGTTTGGACGATCCCCAGTTTTAGAATTTAGATTCCAAATATACTATGAGAATAATATAGGGAAATACTGTTGATATAATTTCGATTTGTAAAAAAAAAATGAGCATGCATTATGCATGGAAATATGCGCTATACAAATGAACAATTATTATTATTATTAAGTTGTTGGAAAATTTGTACGGATACTGCGTATCTACGGACGTTCCTCGTCACGTCGTTGTAGACGCTGTAGCCGACGTTTTGTGGGAATATGATTCAAACAGTCATCTCTTCCTGTACAATGTAGCCTCTTTGTTGGGTTCGACAATGCAGGTTTCCGGGTATCGCGACAGCGGGTTCGTCAAACTGGGGTGGATTGTAATAACATTTGCATGTAATATCAGTCTGAAAATGACAATAACTGAGATAGATTGACGCGATCCGCGTGGCGAGTTCAATATACATTCAACTAAATAATCAATTTATTGTCCAAACAGATGACTGGACTGGACCAAATACATTTTTGATTTGTATTTTGTCGATTTATCGCATTTTCCATGATTTTGTCACTGATATTGGATATAGTGACAGAAGATGGTAATCGTGACGGCAATATTGGCATGGTACAGACGGATTTGAAAAAAAGGCTACAAAGCCCCTTCCACATTCAAAAGAAATCTGTGCTGAAAGCAGAGCCAGTCTACAATTCCGACTGTATCGTGTATATCTTTATGATCACTATTAAAATAGTAACGATACCACGTGTTTGCGAGGTAGCGTATCCTCCCGCACAAGTGGCACCCGGCATAAACACAAGCAAAGGCTAGTCAATTGTTCACCTTGACTAAAATCTGGAAATAGGGAAATTCAAATGGGAATTTCATCGGACAAAATTTGTGTTATTGGTGCGGCAAATTTTGAAGTTTCCTCCATTTGTCTGCCAAATAACGTTTCGAAAACTTCATCAATTAAAAACTATTTTGTCAGAACAATTATTAAGGTGGTTTTTTTTCATAACATACATGTTACGGAGCATGATAGCCATACTGATGGTTAGGACTGCACGGTATTACCGGTGGAACGGTATATCGCAAGACGCCTTTCAAACGATATGTATTGTTTCGGAGAACCGGTATTTTGGGTAAAGAACATATACTCATGCCAATAATGGTTGTCACCCCTTCAATTTTTTAATTGGAGGGGTGGGGAAATGAGGTGTGTGTGGAGTTGGGGTGGGGAGGGGTGACAACCATTATTGGCATGAGCATATATGGAGTCTTTGTGATTATCTTAGACTTTCATTCGCAACAAAAGTTTTCCTTCGTTATTCAATGACAATACGGCATTCTGTAATATTATATTGTATAAAAAGACAACAGAATCCCTGGCTATGCAAATTTATTTTGAGATTGCTGTAATCTGAAGCATATCATATATATATTTAGGGACTTTTAATGTAGAAAATAGGACTGACATGTACAATGAGTGTCAGTCACTGTCAAACACTAAAGTTCCCAATATATCGGAATACGGGTGGAATACGTATCGAAATACGGGTACCTCAATCGCAATACAATTTATTTGCCAATACACCGCCCAACTGTTGGTCGTGATGTTTACTAGGTTGTTAAAAGAAATACATACAGTGACTGTCACACTGGCACCATTGATAGGATTATTTGAGATCTTCCCATGATACACGATACTGACTGCCCTAATATTTCAAACGTTTATTTAAATTAGACTGACATATTTGATTATCCATATACAAATTTCGGTATCATATATTTTGATACACGATACTGACTGCCAGAATATTTCAAACGTTTATTTAAATTAGACTGACATAACTGATTTTCCATATACAAATTTTGGTATCATATATTCATCTGGTTTTAGGAAACATACTACATATTTTACAGTACTTCCATAGCATTTATATACTTCCATCACAAGTTTAGTCTCACTTAAAACACTCACTACATGTTATGCATATATATGTGGTTACATCGAAGATAGATTTCTCCTCTAACTTGGGGGAACCAACTGCAAACCATATGCAGATGAACTGCACGAGGATCATGCATCAAATTGCTGAAAAGCATGTGCAAATATCGTGCATTTGAACAGCTGCGTTTTGGTGTAAAGTTTTGTTAAG